TTAAGGATATGGAAAACCAAAACGTTCCTGGGTATTCATTTGTGACCAATTCTTTCCGTCTAATAAGGTCCCAAAGCGGTACGGACATGCCGATTTCCGAATTACGTTCAGGATCTATACCATATAATCCATCTTTTTCAAGTACTGTTACTCTCTGAGCCGGAATGCAGTTCAGCGGAGAGTTTCGTCATGACTCTGCTCTCCCCTCTTCAACCGCAACGACGACGACGGCACAGATATCATCGATTTTACCACCTCTCCATTTATCCCCAAGGGTAATATCGCTGAGCTTCCTTCGCAAATGGGCCGTCCCTATGACGATCCATGCTGGAAACTTTCGCCTGCCGAACAACTGTAAGAGCGAGGCGATCCTGCAACGGAAGGAATCTCGTTCGAGGGTTAGATATCGGTTGCTTGGATTGAGAGTCGTTCGCCGAAGTGGAGACGCTGGGGGCTTGGACAAGGCCGCCTTCGTGAGTGAATCTATCAAGATCAGCGGCAACGCTAATCCCCGACTCCGAAGTAACGTTCCAAGCACCAGCAGTTATCATTTGGTCTGTTATGATATTTAAAATATCCTGGTTGAAAAGGTTGTCGAGGACGCCGTCCGTTGCAAGAATGAGCACGTCACCATGCTGCATTTTCAAATTAGTTACACTCGCATGGCAGGGGAAATCCTCGAAGATTTGACCTCCGAACATTGACGATTGGATTCGGATGAGCGGCGGTATCAAGGAGAGCTGGTACGGAGCATTGAAAGCGTGCGTTTGAGAAATGGAGTACTGATGAATGGCTGCTAGTCGGCAAAAAATGGATCCTGAATCTCCGAGGCTGGAATCGAATTTTTGCTGTCAACATTACAAGGTCATACACAGGGCTTCGTCATGTAGCGAATAGACAGGATATTTACATACTTCGCAAGTTCCACTCTCCCATCATCATGCCCAATGCCAATGCTAGCGGTACTTCCACCTGCAAAAATAGATTGATCTGCTAAGCATCTCTCATAGCCGGCCTGCATCAAAGCCCTGGGGCTCAATTTTTCTACTTTTGTATTCCAATCTAAAGCGGCCTGAGCCATGTTGCTGCAGAGCGCATGGGAGAAATCCGCCGGGTCCACACCCGATTGGGACCAACCTCCTACACCATCTGCCACGCCAAAAGCAACAGTATTGGGTTCACCGTTCACCTTGCTCACAAAAAAAGCATCCTCTCCACGATCAAACCGGGACATCCTCCGGGCGAAAGGCGTTGTTCAACGGCCTGTAGGCCTAAGGCCGCATCCTTTCCGGCCTAAAACTAAGACAG